TACAGGCCAGCACGGGACCCTCAGAGGTCAGTGTGGGGCCCTAAAAGACAGGCATGGGCAGGCGTTGGACCCCAGAGGCCAGCAGAGGGCCCTCGAAGACCAAGATGGCCCTCAGAGGCCGATGCGGGCCCTTAGAGACCGGCATCGGGGTTTTCAGAATCCAGTGCAGGGCCCTCAGATGCTAATGTGGGTTCTTGCAGGCCAGCACGGGCCCTGAGGTCAGTGTGGGGCCCTAAAAAAACAGGCATGGGCCGGCGTTGGACCCCAGAGACCAGCGGAGGGCCATCAAAGGCTAAGATGAGCCCTCAGAAGCCGATGCGGGCCCTTAGAGGTCGGCATCGGGGTTTTCAGAATCCAGTGCAGGGCCCTCAGATGCTAATGTGGGTTCTTGCAGGCCAGCACGGGCCCTGTGGTCAGTGTGGGGCCCTAAAAAAACAGACATGGGCCGGCGTTGGACCCCAGAGACCAGCGGAGGGCCCTCAAAGGCCAAGATGGGCCCTCAGAAGCCGATGCGGGCCCTTAGAGGCCGGCATCGGGTCTTCAGAATACCGTACGGGGCCCTCAGAGGCACTGAAAGGATAGTCTTGTTGGGACCCGAGACAGAGATGAGGCCACAAGAGGCCGGTGTGAGGCCCTCAGACGCCGGTAGGGCCCCTGAGGCCGGTTTAGGGGCCCTCAAAGGTCAGTGGAGGGCCCTCAGAGGTGGATCCTCAGCGGTCAATGTGGGCGCTTGATCGCCACTGAAGGGCCCTCAGAGGTCAGTGTAAGACCCTCAAAGACCGGTATGGGAGCTGTTAAAAAGGAAATAGTTCACTTTCACGAAATTATTTTTTTTGCAACGGATTTATGATTTTTTATGTTCAAAATAATCAGCAAAGAAAATAAAACCTTTTTATAACAAAATATTATTTTCTATATTTTGATATAGGAAGAACTTTTCAGTTTCTGTAAGGCACACGCGATCCAGTATGAAAAGAGCATGGGTCCCGAAAATTCTTCAGAAACAGAGAAATTATCGCAGCCACCGGCATTTGGGCGATCTGCTCGATCTGATAATGTTCCCCTGAATGCACGGACGTATAAATAAACTGGACTGACGATCCCAATGGACCTCCTATGGAAGATAGTGAAGCCGACAAGGCGCCATTTTACGTTGCCAAAAACCCGTGCTCTGAAAGGTCTACGAACCATTACAATTGGAATTGCGTCTAAACGGATGATCGGATCGAGATGCTGGTGGTACCGTTCGATGGGTAATGCTTTGAGGCAGGTGATGATGCATGACACAGGTCATTCGGTGTCACGTGGCGCGTGCCACGTGCCGACAAAGTCGGGAAGGGCAAAAACCTTTAAGCGACGCTCCAAATTAAACCGTGGACGGCACAGGTGCCAAATTCACAGGTCACATGTCCCGGTGTTTGACCATTACCATATGGTATGCTCGGCAGCAGGGGGTGCGGAATGCACGCGCCAGGGGCGAAAAACATGTTTTGAGGATGCATCCTCCGATTCCGGAAAACCTTGACCTAGGCACACCAAATTTGGCACACTGACACTACTGGACGAGCGCTTTAAGGCGCTGTGCAAATAGATGTGCTGGGGTACACGGTGCACGTGCTGTGCACGTGCAAACCTTTTGATGTTGCACTCTGTGTCACATATACGGGCAGAGCGGGTAGCGCTAGCAAGCTCAAAGTGCCAAATTTACACAGGCCACCCAGAATGCATTCCAGCATAGTTATTGAGCATATCTATCTCCTGGTGGTCCCCAAAGGTGCGCTCTGCACGTGCAAAAAAATTATCCGCGCCGGGCGGTGGGGATGCTTGGACACCCCATGTAGGTTTATGTAAATATCTCGAAAACGGCGTTGTGGAGCGCCGCCGTTTTTAGCACACCCTTTCATGAATCTTTTTCACACATGCTGCATAACTTTCAGACCCAGGTCACTCAAGGTTAGGTCACCAGGTTACGTCCAAGTGGCCTTACCTTAGGAAAAGTTATAATGCCCGTCATAGCTACACAGACTGAACAATCAGTCTAAAACGTTGGCCTATAGTCGATGGTCGATAGTCGATGGTCGATGGCCACCTATGACCTATGGTCGATGATGACGACAACAACGTTCGTCGGTCCCCCTGGTCGGCTCACCATTTAGGTGCTGATCCATTTGAAAATGGGAGATGATATCACTTTTGCCTACTCCAGTAGGTACCCATCACCCTCACGTGAGGCAAAGGACACAAAACATATGTAGACGAGCGGTGTCGCCTGAAGAAGTTTGTTATGTGCTGGCAATAGCTAGTACCACAGTTTGATAAACAAATCACCAATTATCTCAAAGCAAGAATTGAGAGTAACCGCAGATTGTTTGATACGGTCTTTAAAACGGCAAACCATTTCTTTTGTCAAATTCGGGCTCCAAAACTTTTAGCTACCCAGCAACGCAAATTTACGCTACCATCGCCCGATAGCGCAGCATAGGCATCTTTGTTTCCACGTTGTTTGCGCCTGTAGTGATACTGTACCGCAATAACCATTATCTTCATCTTTCACCCATAGATGGCAGTAGCAGAGCGCCTGCATCTATGCTGTGCCGCAGTGCTTTTACAATACGAACTGAGCGTTGAGCAAGCGCGGTGTAATACCATTAGCCATTAGGTATGTGGTGGCCTGGACCGGTGACCGCGGCCAAGAAGAAATGGCTCCAACTTGACTGAGTAGCGGTAAATCAGCATCTGATATTAAGTTACATATTATTACGAGACCATGTTTGGCCGGAATCGTGATTCGGCGTACGTCGGCGCGCACTAGCAGCGCGTTTGCTGTCTTTTCGTGGTTTCAAGCGTTCAAACATGTGATGTGATGTTGGTCACATGCAATATGGTGATTGGTGGGTGTCAAGGTCACGTGAAAATTAGGTCAAGGTCACTGACCTTTAATGACCTTGGTTCACCTTTTCGAGTTTTACATGTTTCTAGGACAGTTTTTGGAGCTGATTTGATTTCGAATTTAGCATTCAGTTCAACATTTAAGAAGTTATAGTTTTATTGCATTCGTAACATGTTACGACGCCATCAGTGGTGGTGGACACCTACTATGGATAAGAATGATACTTAAATATGGATAAGATACTTTACGTATACCTTTATGGTGCTCTTAATAATCGCCGCCAACGTTTTAGACCGATTGTTCAGTCTGTGTAGCTATGACGGGCATTATAACTTTTCCTAAGGTAAGGCCACTTGGACGTAGCCTGCTGGTGACCTAACCTTGAGTGACCTGGGTCTGAAAGTTATGCAGCATGCGTGAAAAAGATGCATGAAAGGGTGTGCTAAAAACGGCGGCGCTCCACAACGCCGTTTTCGAGATATATTTACATAAACCTACATGGGGTGTCCAAGCATCCCCACCGCCCGGCGCGGATAATTTTTTGCACGTGCAGAGCGCATCTTTGGGGTCCACCAGGAGATAGATATGCTCAATAACTATGCTGGAATGCATTCTGGGTGGCCTGTGTAAATTTGGCACTTTGAGCTTGCCAGCGCTACCCGCCCTACCCGCATGTGTGACACAGAGTGCAACATCAAAAGGTTTGCACGTGCACAGCACGTGCACCGTGTACCCAAGCACGCCTATTTATACAGCACCTTAAAGCGCGTGTCCATCAGTGTCAGTGTACCAAATTTGGTGTGCCTAGGTCAAGGTTTTCCGGAATCGGAGGATGCATCCTCAAAACATGTTTTTCGCCCCTGGCGCGTGCATTCCGCACCCTCTGCTGCCGAGCATACCATATGGTAATGGTCAAACACCGGGACATGTGACCTGTGAATTTGGCACCTGTGCCGTCCACGGTTTAATTTGGAGCGTCGCTTAAAGGTTTTTGCCCTTCCCGACTTTGTCGGCACGTGGCACGCGCCACGTGACACCGAATGACCTGTGTCATGCATCATCACCTGCCTCAAAGCATTACCCATCGAACGGTACCACCAGCATCTCGATCCGATCATCCTTTTAGACGCAATTCCAATTGTAATGGTTCGATGACCTTTCAGAGCATGGGTTTTTGGCAACGTAAAATGGCGCCTTGTCGGCTTCACCTGAATGGAGGTGGTTGCGGGTCCAGTTTAATTATACGTCCGTGCCTGAATGTCCTAATTGATCAGTACGAGAATTTCTCTAGAGTTCTCGTAGATAATTTCTCTAGTTTCTGAAGAATTTTCGGGACCCATGCTCTTTTCATACTGGATGGAAATATATGCAAGGCACACATCCTCAACGCAAGACACCTTTTTCGGGACGAGAAATAGAATATCTTTGCCTAGGGTGATCGTTGGGCTGTAAAAGCTCCTGATTTATGCTCGTCTCAGCCCAAGCTACGGAACTGCTATTCCAGTTCAAAACCCATGTTAAAAAGTGAACTATTTCCTTAGCTGGCGTGAGTTTCTTGAGCCTCGTGACAATCGAATAAGGGCCAGGGCCCCATACGCCCATGGGGGCCCATCGGTTGTTTGGGGGGGGGGGGGCAAATGATATGATGGCCCCCCTGATTTGCCTTTGGGGGGGCCATGGCCCTGATGGCCCCCCCCCTGCGACCGCCACTGGCATCCAATGCACTTTAGGGCATGCTTGTTGGGCTGCAAAATTTGAGAGAAGTTACATCACCAATCTATCGTGAAATGAGTGGAAGCCTCGGGAGTGACTTTTTACATATCAATATTGTATGATGTCATAGAGGCGCTGTTTTCAAATGAATGGTCACAGAATATGTAATCATTATTCATTTGTCAATGTGCATCGCGCCCTGCGTTGCAAAATTCAAGTTGATTTGCATCTCCAAAACGTGAAGTTCGTCAAACGAAGGGCGCGGTCCACAAATGCCGCTGCGTCATAGATGTCTTGACTACTGATTCTGGAATGCGTTGAAGTATTCTACTGTAATACCTCGAACGAAAATGAACGTCGAATCCTAATCTACCGTTAAGAAGGGACAATCTACTGCTAGTTCTGACTCTACCCTCTGCTGATACATCCGATATAACACAAATGACGCATTGTCGATCGCGTAACACTCTGGAAGTAGACTTGAACTGTAAATTTTGAATTTTGCATTGTGAGGGAGGGGTGTGGTGGAGTTGTGGTGACAAGTGTTGGCTTGTGAATATGGTGTAGTTTTTATAACAAACAATTATGGATCAATCAGACTGCTGATATCGTGCCACACTGCCACCAGTTGGAGAAACAAGATTTTTGCCTATAAATCAAAATCCGAGACACGAGTCGGCATCAGTATTTGTTTTGATTTACCCTTTGAAGCACAGGGAACATCTTTATCCTGCCCTTAGGCCTTAGGTGAGTGTTGACTGACTTTCAGGAATTTTTCCCACTCTTGGATTTAATGTCCTGATTTTCAAGTAAATTTTTATGTGGTTTTTGGGGTTGGCCCGAGCCGTGATTTAGACTTGCTCGCTGATCAAGCGCAGCACGTATAATGCCACTGGCCCACCACTTAGACGTGACAAGTGCCCCTTTCTTTGGTTCCAATGTGATGCGTACTGTGTGCTGTGTGCATGTGATATTTGGTAAAATAAGGGTAACTTGCATAGCCCAAATTAAGCAGGAAGTTGGCTGATACTGTGTCGCTGGTCAGGTACTTACCTTGGTAGTCTTCAAGCAGGCATGGCATCACACTTCCTTGTATATGGCTATAGGTGAGGTGATGGGCTGCGGCCTCATCAATATGCCCATTAGTGTGATACATCACAAGTGTACTTTTGATTGTGTTTTTGATTGATAAAAGAAATTTGATTGCTGAGCATGAAAATTTGGTTGGGTTCAGTATCCATTGCCAACTACTGGTCACTCAAAGCACATTTGAGCTTTTGATCATGCAGCTTTCAGTCATCATCTTTGCCCAATCACCATCAATAGCATGCTAAAACACATCTTTTTGGATGTTTGTTTTGCTCATGATTAGGCTAGGTCACTTTCATATGTGTAATAACTTTTTTTAAAGTTGAATGGCCATACTGACACTTGTCAACTCACTGGCCTGGTTTGTGGCATGCTGGATGGAGCAATTGTCTTTACCCAAACCCCAGCCCAGGGCCCAGGATAATTTTCAGTTTGAGTTTGTGGCAAGTTTCTCTCTGTGAATCTGATCTCAGACAGCATCTCTCAAATGCCATCATATTTAAGAGTGCTCTTAAAAAGTTATGGTTTTGTGCCATGTTTGGAATGATACTGACTGGCTTGCAGGCTGTTTGTTCACCTTGCACTATTTATTTCAATGGAAAGAGATTACATGTTCTACCCCTCACAATGCATTCCTGATCAATGCTGAATCAAAATAGACCTATTCCATAGAAGTACCTAAGTTGTGTTTGAATTATAAGCTTTGTATGATTTTTTCCCTTCCAAGGCCTTAAGTTCACCAACCTTTGCCACACCAGGCAATGTCCAAATGTCATCATTTTGGTTACCAGGTGTGTGGAAGTCTGTAAAATAGTCGGACCAAAATTTTAGTGAAACTTTATCTGTCATTTGTTTTCTTACTTTAATATGGACTAGAAATAGGAGCTCTAAAGTTTTGAAACACCTTGAAAACTCACCATCAAAACATGGGACTGAGTGCTTTGGCATCCAGCTGTCCCTAGCTGCCTGCATGTGATACGTCTGGATATACCCAGCTGAGTGGTTCTCCCTATCATACCCCAGGCGCCTGAGTGCCTGTGTGTCTGTCTATCCCCTAGCCTATGAGCATCTCTATGCCTGTGTATCCAAGTGTGTGTCTGCCAGCGTCTCCGGCTGACGCGACGGCGGCGGCGGAACCGTGCCGCGCGCTCGCCGCTGCGCCGCACCCCATTGTGCCGGCGCGGTCGGCGTCCGGCGCCGATGGTGCTCTTCCGGCGGCGCCCGTGGCCCGCGGCCATCTGGGTCGTCAGCGGGGCGCCGCCGTCCCGGAGGGTGGACCGGAGATGGTGCCGGAGGGCTGGAGGCGGGACTGCCCGGAGCGAGACCGGTCACCGGGGTGGGTCTGTAGGCTTTCGGAGGCGGTCTGGACTAGTGGTCTGAAGGTGTCGGCCGCACTGGTCCAGAGCTGTTGTCAGAGTGGCGGTCCCTCCACCTGGCCGGACACGGCACCTGCGGACGGAGGGTGGGGAGCGTCCTACTGTGAGATATTGTGGACGTTCCAATCCAATGTCATTTTCTACGCACATTATATCATACTTAAATGAGGTCTTAATCACCTCTGACCTCACCCACATCATTGCAGTGAAGATCACAGAGTCTTTGTGCCTGTGAATGTGTAAGCAACATAGCCAACACGCTTTCGATATCTGCCATCGATTTCTTTTCATTTGCAGAATGGCTCCGGTGCTCTATATCTGGTGTGCATTTTCCTAAATGGTCTTCTGTAATTTGCCGTTCTGAGTGTTTGATTTGGCTTCCATCATGCCGGTTCTCTGTTGTTTCTTGCGCTAGCTAGGACTTCTCTCCTTGTTCTACGCTGCGTGTCCCTGCGCTGCGGCCGCTCTGTCTGGGTACCGGTCTCTGTCTTTGTGTGCTGCCGGCGGAGGCGGAGGTGGGGGCAGCTCAGGTTTCTGGCGGTATTTGCCGTTTGGCCTGGCCTGGCCTGGCCGGACGTCTCCCCCGGCCGCGCGGGTATATTGATCACGGCGGCACGTGCGGAGATCGTGTGTGGCCGCGCCCAGACTGACGGCTTTTTCTCATTAGACGGGCCAATCTGGCCGCGAATCAGGCAAACAATGGCCGAAAAACGGTCCCCCGAGGCCAATCAATTAGTGGTCTGGCGTGGGACGGGAGGCGACGCAGTGTCGCTCTGTGGTCCTGGCAGGGACGCCTGCCTCGGGTGTTTGTGTCCAGAGGAGCGAGCTACTTGAGAGCGATTTCTTTCCTGGTACGGCTCGTGATGCAGAGTGCTGGAAGGCTTGCCGTCGATACTAGTTTGTTATGTAACATTTGTCGGGCTTGAGGCTTGTGACTCCTAAATTGCTTTATTTCCTTCCTGTGCCTCATAAGAGGAGCATTTTGAGTGAGGACTGAAAATATGCGAAACATTATGAAAAAACTTGATGCTGAAAAGCATAGAGTGCACATTCATTTGTCAGTTTTACGTTAGTAAATTTATATTGGTTCCATTTAGCTCTTTGTTTTTCCTCATAACTTCTTTTAACTCGTCTTTTGCCCATAGTTAATATTTTTGGCTGTCACGTAGAGAAGCCCAATTGCGTCGGCGGGTTGATTTATTTGCAATGGCTTTATCGATCTGCTTCTTCCGCGTTCCTGGTCAGAAAGGCGGCAGCAGTTTCGTTCAAATCAGCTGCGATGGCGGGCGGCCGGCCAATAAGTCTGCTCATGATGCCCAGACGTTAGTTTAAAACCGAGCCTCTCTGTCGGTTGGGCGTGGCTGCTGATTTCTGGGTGAGCTATCGGCTTTGGTATAAAGCCGGCGCCGGCCGACTTCGTTATTCTGGCACCGTACGAGCCCTCACTGAATACCTGGCGAAAGGCCCCAGTGTGGGTGGATCCTTGAGCTACACCATTGCCGCGTCAGCACTACCTCAGCTCCCTCCCCCTTCACCCTGGAGACTGTGAAATCCCCAAGTCTCCTCCGGAATGGATGTTTGAGCATGCCGGCCGCCCCCGCCCCGCCCTGTGCGCCGCCGCCGCCGCCGGATCGATGTCGCCGCCCGGCTGGGGTCCGTCGGCGAGCGGCGGGGTGCGCTGGCCGGCCTGTCGACCGGCCGGCCGACCAATTACACAGGTGCGCCACCGCCGTCGGCGAGACTCAAACTGAACTGTCGGAGAGGCGCCGTCCCGGACCGCGCCGTGCGTGTGCGCCGCGCGACGTTCCCCCGTCGGCCGGTCGGCCGGTCACGCGCCGCCGTCGCCGACGCCCAGTCGACTCCGACGAGCGGGCTGGGCGTGTCGGCGGCGACGGCGCTCCGAGCCGGACGGCGGCGCGGCGACCCGCGGTGACCGGCTGGGGAGCTGCCGTGACGGGCCGCTGAGCTGAGGTGACCCGCGGTGACGGACCGGTGACGCTCGGTGATTCGGTGACGAGTGGTGACCGGAGTGGTACTCGTGGACTCGGACCTGTGACGGACGGGACGCCGCCGGCGCCCCGCCCAGCGGCACTCCTCACGGTACGGTATGGCGCCACCAGGTCGGGGCGTCTGTTTGGTCGGTCTGGGAGGGGCCGGGTGAGCGAGGCATAGCCCCGCTGAAGCCCCGGGAGCTGGGAGGGTGTTGGCGGAAGGCGGGGCGCTGTTGATGTGGTCGGGCGGGGCCGTTGCCACCTGACACCCCACAGGATGCACTTTACCCCAGCGGCGGATACCTCGCCTCACGTTTGCCGACCGGAGCGAGCTCAAACAGCCGGCACGGCGTCCCCGTTTCACGCTGGCATGAAGGGACGTGACAGCGCTTCCCGTACGTGTTCATCTGTCCGGGGCGGCTGTCTCTCTCAACAGACCGACAGCCAATTACTATAGAACGTGGCGGCGCGGCGGCCGGTTGTAAAGCCGGCGGGCGGAGCCGACACCGTTTGTAACCGACGCGTGGTTCCGGTCACGCTGTGAATCGGCCCCGGCGGATGCGTCCGGTAGTGGCCCGCTCTCCGACGGGTGCCCCCACGGAGCATTCTCGGGCGACACAGGAGCCCAATGGGATCCCCGAGGAGCGCGCGGCACGCTGCTCGGTATTCATTGGCGTTCCGCGGCCACCGGCTGTCGGACGGCCGTCCTCGCTATGTGCCCGGTGCGTCTGAGACGCACGACGGCGCCGATGCGGGCTGACAGCCACTGTCCCTCGGCTCTGCCCGCTCTGGCTCCGGCGACCGCTGACGGCGGTGGCGGCGGGCGTTTCATTTGCGGTGTCGTTTCGAATTAGGGTCGTGGCGCGGGGTCCCTCCCACGCTGCGGGACTGCGTAGGAGGCGCGGACGACTGACGTGCTGTTGTGTGGTGAGCTGGCGGTCATCCCGGGTGCTGCCCGGCGCGGCGGCAGCCGTCTGGCCCGCGCTCCTCGTCTGACGGACACGTTTGTTGACGCTAGGCCCGCCGCTGGTGCACGGTGGTGGTGGCTGCGGTGTGATGGGCTCTGGTGTATGTTTTCATGGAGGCTGGCCGACCTATTATAGGATGTTTGTTAGTGGTGATGCAGACTGGTCATGAAAGTCGAGAGCCGCCACGGCCGCCGGCAGCGTGCAAACATTGAGTGCTGCACCTAGCCAGGATTTGCAGTCAACCTGACATCATGTTATCGAATGCTTTGTTTGTGGCTTAACCCGCGCCCAGATGGGGTCTGCCGAGCAACGCGGTCTGATGG